TGATCAAGAGCGTGCAGCAGATATATGATCAATGTATTATGGGTTTTACCGGGTTCATAATTGCTTTCCTTCCGCGCCAATTTTATCCTCCCTTATCTATTATTTTACTTCTATTAAGATAAATAAATAGATAGTAATTGTAAAAGGAGTCCGCATACATTTTAGTTAGCACAGATCAAAGACCATTCAGTAAGGCAAAGTAATCAATAGAAGTCAAGGTAAATAAATAGATAGTGATTGTAAAAGGAGGCCGAATACATTTTAGTTATCACAGATCAAAGACCATTCAGCAAGGCAAAGTAATCAATAGAAGTCAAAGTATTTATCAGACACCACCTCCAAGCAAATAAGGTTTGAATCAAATACTAACTATACCTTATCTCTTAAGATCGGATCTTATTTGAAACAGGATTAGTTTTGGCGGCCTCAGTTTGTTATTGAATGTTAACTGCTTTCAAATGATATAAATAGTGATTAAAGCAACAGAGAGTAATATATATATTGGTTAGAAAATGAAGTTTTGTTAGCCGAAATATGACGAATTTATTTTGTTGACCTGCTAGCTTCACCGAGACTGGCGTTTCGGTAGTCTTCTGGGGTCTCGGATTTGATTCCTTGACATGACATCACATGTGAGTAGAGTTGAGGACTCTTCCTTGATTGGAGGGTTTTTTCGGATTCTCCGCTTTTCTCCCTCGGCAAAGCCCTGACTTTGATCAGCCCAGAGGTTGTTTCAGGGTTTGATCTGTGAGTTAGCCATGCCCTGACTTAGATCAGACCATGGGTTGTTTCAGGGTTTGATCTGTGAGTTAGCCATGCCCTGACTTAGATCAGACCATGGGTTGTTTCAGGGTTTGATCTGTGAGTTAGTCATGACAGTCTAAACGCTGTTTCAGTGTGTCGATAAAATTTGTGGGTATTTGACACGATGTATTTGAAGGCTTTAAAGTGAAACTTTACTTAAAGGGGTTGTTGATTTAGTCTACTATATAACTCGCCTAAACCAAGGAAACTTGATAGTTTTGATCATGCGTATCTCTTGCTATGTACGTGTTACGGAAAGTAGAGCTTGAAGAAAAATACATGAAAATATAACAAGCGTCACCGCGACGTATACTATACCAAGTACTATTATAAAAGTGTTTAACTATGTATTTACTAACAAATAATCACAGTTTTCGTTTTCAAATTGTTGTATTGATTGTCCAGGCGACAATCTTTAGACAAAAATATTTAATATTTAATCGATAAAAAAACGCAAACCAAAAATACCAGATCTAGAATGATCGGGCACGACTTCTTTCGCGTCAAATTTCCAGCTAACAAAACAAAAAAAACACAGATAAGCTAATCTATCTAAGTTGCTTTCATTCACGACCACGACTAGCAGACTTTACGAGTGTTTCATGCAACCCCGTCCTTCATCGCTAAAAAAAATTGATTTTAATCTGAAACAATGTCGAAATGTGCTGACAAGCAATCGTTCAAAGGTAAAGTAGATTCGTCATTCTACTATAGCTTGTCGACACGTATCTGTTTTATTGATATAGAACTAGTGATTTAAATATCCGTCCCAATTATATCGGTCAAGAACTGTAGGTTTGTAAATATAGCATGTTTGATTTGATTTAGTCCTTTGCTGTCAGCGGTAGCTTGCTGAAAATACTCTATTGAAGTGAATAAGGTAGTGATTTCGTTTTAAAAAAATGCTTTATTTCAATCTTAGTATCCATAGCCATAGCTATTTAAGCAGTAGATATATGTGAGAAGTTGGAGGGATCAGAGCTGCGTATATATCTCGCGCAATAGTAAAGGAAGTTCAGAAGTCTTTCTTTTTCTTTTTCTTTTTTTTTTTTTTTTTTTTTTTTTTTTTTTTTTT